ATTACTGTGCATATCCAATGTCATCAGCATTGTGTATATACCTTATTTTCAGGGAGCAATAGAGAAAAAAAATTACAAAGGATTTTTCTAAAGGGAATGACTGTCTCATTTTATCAGTTTTCTCAAGTGCAACACTAATTAATCCACTTGAAATGATTTATATTGCATTTTTCAACCATTCTTTTTCCTTTCAAATGATTCATAGGCTTTGTAAATACATGTGATATCTTGATATCTGTATTCTTTTTCTATAAAGAAAATTAAAACAGAGTCAGCAACATACAATGACAGGAGGAGTACTTTATTTTCATATTATCAATTGGACAGTAAAAGAACAAAGCAGTTACTTATCACAGGAGTGAAATCAAGTTATGAATCTCCAAGGTTCCAATATCACGGTCATCTTTTCCATATACTGAACACAACAATGATGGGTAGTGTTCCACAGATTTTAATCTTATAACTGATTGATCCCCAAGTTTCTTCTTCTGGTTGAGAGATCCAGGGTCTCCTACAGTAATGATAATTCAGCAATCTTAGGATAAGTGTGGTAACTTGAAGCAACATACCACTATAGTTTAGTGTGACTGAACTGTCAATTGTCAATATTTGTCAATTCAATGGCACCAATCCTCCTTTCCTACAAAACTGACTGAGATTGCCAAGCCTAAGATGCACATTTATCATGGGGGATTGTCCCAAGGTGGCTCTAAGTCCAATAAAGGTTTGCCAGGATATCCACTACTGCGTCTACCTGAAGATGGCAGGACAGGCTGTCAAAAGAAAATGTATTAAACATATTTTAAACTTATGTTAATTGCTGTATAAAAACAATGACTAAATAATATACTGATCAAACATATTGCACAAGTAAACACAATGAATGAAAATGAAATCAAATATGCATGATGTAGCTACCAGAATTTCATGATAGAAAGGCAGAGTTGGTGCTCACATCTGAATCTGATGAATTTGCCTGTGCAATTTCAGGTGACTCTTCTATTATTGTCTGTAAGATTGTCCAAGTCAAGGTTCACATCCAGGCCTAGGATGTAAAATCTGAAAAATAAACATAGCATCAATAAATGTTTTACAACAACAAAGGCTAACTGTGTTCAGAATAGAAACTACCATAGCAGGATCAATCCATCTCAGCGGAGTATCACACTCAGGCTCAGTCGTTGTAATCAGCTTAATTGTCTGGCACACCCCCTTGCAAAGCAACATGAACGACATAATGGACCACAAAGTTTTCCTGATTTTACTAAAGTACTTTTAGTTGTACAAGTGTTCTGTGTAATATGTAAGTCTTGAAAATTGAAGCACAGTGTGTTACAAAGTCACATAAATTAAGCTAGGTGGTTAACTTCAACTTCATTGCAAACAAACATAAATCTGAAACTAAAACATAAAAAACTGGCACAAGTAACATCGCCTAAAATGCCAAAACTTGAAACTGAATGTGTTACATACCTTAGTTTGATTCTGGGTAAGAAATTTGTAATGAAGCTGTCTACAAGCTCAGTTGTCCTTAACTGTTTGTGTTATGATAACACATGTAACAAAGCCCTAGAATATTTAATGCACAAACATACTTCATAAGTTAGATACACAGTTGATTCTTTTCAGCAGACATATTTACCATGAAATAGAAATCAAGTAAAATTCTATGAATTGAAATATACCAGTACATCTTTTAATCTTTTATATTACTTTAAAATATTCAAACTTATTATTTAAACTGGTTTGAGTTTTTAGTGTATCTGATTCTATTATATGTATGCCACCACTGGCCAACAACAGGGTAGGTTATTACTACATAGAAGACAGTACCTGAAATAGTGACAGAACCGACTTTGTCTGTTAATATATATATGATCACTTACCTTACAACAAACATCCAGAGCTAAATCGATGAGCTGGATATAGTCTGAAGTGGTTCAACAAAAAAATAAACATTACATTCTTAGGACGACAAGCTGCTATGGTCATTTCTTGTGATATTCTGGTGCACACCAATCCTTCTGAGATGTACCTAAGCATCTCTAGTGCGTGTTCTTCATAAAATTAAGAAAGCATTATGTTTTCACACTGTAAAGACGATGTGCTTTGCTCCACAGTTGCTCCGGTGATAATCCTAGTACCCGCCATGTTGAAAATAGGTCACAGAGTTAGCATTGTTATTTTACATTTAGTTTCTACAACATAAACAAATTTAAAAAATGTATTTTTGCTTCATAAGTTTGTCTGCAGGGCAAACATGATTATTTTAAGGGCTTTTCACAAACCTATACATGGTTTTGACTTATCAATTTAATTGAAGAAACAGTTTATTATTTGGGGGCGTCTCGATAGTCCGAAGGTTCATTGGTCCGAAGGTTCATTGGTCCGAAAAGTGGTAACATTTTCATCATTTTTTTAATCAAGGGTTCATTGGTCCGAAGGTTCTATAGTGAATATTCGGACCAATGAACCTTCGGACTATCGAACCTTCGGACTATTGCTACGGCCCCTATTATTTAAGTAGTATAAAAATATTCGTTTTTAGGCCCTTTTTAAAATTGTTATAGTTCTAATTTGACAAGGTTTAACACAGATTTTATTTCACAAAATTTATTTTTCAACCCTTTTCTATCAGCACATACCAAAATTATATGGATACAACCTGCAAAAAAGAAGTTGTGTGCATTTAAAGAAGGGGAGGGGGTCAAGCATACGGAAAACATGCTTTATTAGAATCGACCTTGTGTGGTCATGACAGTGCCTTTTCGAAAAATCTGTACTGGGTATTAAAGGTCTTTCCTTAACCTATCATGTGGCTTACCTAAATAATTCCTTATGATGTACATGATTTTTTAAAGGAATATTTAAAATTATAACTTTTCAAGAGCTAAAAAATGCTATATTTTGGCAAAATTGCCAATAAAAGATCTGCCCCCATATCTCTACAACTAATGATCCAAAATAAGAAAGCCCATGGCTCACAATATCTTTCATGTTGATGGTTTACCACACCAAAAATTATTAAAATCTGCTGACCCCCACCTTGCCGCCTTCTGACTGATCTGTCTGGCTTTCTCATGGACGCGCTCTTAATGGTTAAGTATAAATAAATGAAACAAAACATGCATTTAACATCATACTTTTTCCTCGTCATCAGAGGTAGAATGTGGCTTACCCGTAAACGCCAGCATGTTTGCTCATCTCCATGCACGCCCCCTGGATGTCAACCTAGGCCGCCCCTTCCGTTACCAAGACAACATCACATATCTGTGTGACATAGGATATGTGCTGGGGGACGGCAGCAACAAGATGACACTGACCTGTGGTCAAGATGGACAGTGGAGTGGGGGACTTCCTGAATGTCAAGGTGATCTCTTGGTGGCATTTGGGGATAGTTAAGTCACATCATAGGCAGAATTAGAGGGGGTGGGGATCCTGACCCCCCCCCCCCCCTTCGATTTCTGAAAAAAAAAATCACACCAATGGTCCCCTCTTGAAATTATAATTTTGACTAGCTGAATCATAGTTCTAAACTGTACTAAATGTCACCATTCAACCTCTAAAATTTGCATCAAATTTTTGGGGCTTTGAGATGTATGAGGTCAGAAATAATGGGGAGAGAATTTAGGAATGCTTGTATCTTTGATATCACTTTGAAGTGTCTGTTTTCCATAAGTAGACATTCAGAAAAGAGTTCTAAAAATTTGGAATAAACTAATATAAGTTCATTACAACTGAGTAGTACTTTAAAACAGTTAAAAATCAAATGATTGCCAGTTGCTGAAACACTTCTATGTCCTGAAGTTATTGATTAAAATGTGACCTTGATATTTCAGCTGCTATGTGCATGGAAGAGCCTGTTCCCAGTGGTGCTATTGCAGGAACAAATAACCTGACCTACCAGGCTGTAGGCGAGATCACATGTAACGTCTCCGGGGTCCGAAATGAAACCATTACTCGTTATTGTCAGTATAATCAAACTTCAGACAGTTACATGTTCACAGGACAGCCTATTAGGTGTAATGGTAAGATATTTAGGATGGGTTAAGTACTTGGTGAAGCATACTGCAGACAAGTTCAATTGCATTTAATTGCAGAATAAAACATAGCCTATCTTGTTAACTCTCCATTTGTCTTTCTTTACAAGATGAATGTATTAAGTATGATCTTTAATCTTTTGAAAAACTGCATTTTTAAATATTTATTTACTTGTATTTGTTTGAATCATGTATGTCACATTGAAGAAGCCACATCTTGTTTTTTTATAGAACAAAAGATGAAACATTGTAATTAGCCATTGACATAAATGTGTTTATATAGTTATAGACTGTGGGCAGCCAGACACTATAACAGGAGCCAATATAACAGTGGTGTCCACACTGTATCCTAGCAGCTTTACAGTAACCTGCAAAGATTTATACAGCCTTGCTGGAAACAGCAGCAAGTATGATAACATTGTGAGGTGTACAGCTGATGGGTATTGGGACTATGGAGATCTTCGATGTGAAGGTAGATGTTATACCACATTGGTCTTATTAGTTTTTTCTCGGTTTGTTTTATCTGAATGCAATGCTAATATGGATTTTTGGAAAGCCTAATTGCTTAATGATCTCTACTACAGAGTAGTTCATTTGATGCCTTTGGTAACTTGTTTTTTATTGAACCATTTTTCTATTGGGCACATTTTTGTCAAATGGGTGCTGACATCAATAACAATTAATTTAAATCTTTGGGGAAGATGTGATTTAAGATTCTACATTTTTGATTTGTTCACTTTTTAAAAATTACAATTAGCTTAAAAAAAGAGAGAAAAATTAGTCATAATTATTTCATTCTTAACTACAGGGGCCACATGTAGTGACCCAGGGAGGCCTCCAGATGGCAGACAGGTGGCAGTAGATACCTATGAGGAGGGTAAACTGGTTAGATATGTCTGTGACAGGCCAGGTTATGAACCAGACCCTCCATACCCCTTGCTGTGTGAGGTGGCAGGTTCCAATCTTACCTGGAATGCCTCTGCACCTACATGTGTGGGTGAGTATAACAAGGCAGTGTGTTTAGAGGTGGAAGTGTCTCCTGATTTACCTAGAAATCCAGATATTTGAGAATTGTCGTAACCTATTAACACTCCTTTACCCCTTGCTTTGTTGTATTTTCCAGGTCCACTTTCATCTCTGTGATATTTGTAATAAATTATTGGCCAGTTATTGGTGCCAGTGTATCAGTATTGTTTTCGTACCTGACAAGTAAAAGTAATACTTCTCTATGTTTGGATTAGGTTTATGTCTCATTTTTCAGTTGATTTAAAATATGGAATTTCAGTAAATTATAATTTAAGTACCTTACAATTTGTACATCATTGTGATTCATAGTCACTTATTTATTTTCTTACTATACATTTTCCTTCTTTAAGCCCACAGCCAATTATTTAGAGGTTATGTATATTATAAAATTATACTTATAATTACAGACAGGGAATCACCAGTGTTTACCTTCTGTCCCGGACCTTTTACTGTGGCTAAGCTTTCTGAACTGTTTACCATGCCATTTCCCAATGCCACAGACAACTCCGGGATGATACGGGACATCCAGGTGTCCCCTGTGGACTTCCATGGTTACGGGATGTGGATAGAGCAGGACATGAATGTCACATACACCGCCTACGATCACGCTAATAACACGGCTACATGTGTGGTTAACATCAGGTTAAAAGGTGTGTTTTATGCAGGTTATTGAAACGTGTAAGGAAAATAAAGAAAGATTAATCTCAGCATCTAGATTAAACATATGGACCCAACATGTGTTAAGTCCCAGATAAAAAAGATTAATCCCAGGGGTTAATCCCACAAGTAGGAATGAGTATTGGAATTTAAGATATGATATATATATATATCACCTACATTTTATATGTACTCTATGAATTACAAACAGAGTATATGTTTTTATAGATTCTGTTCATTTGTGAGAAGATTCATATAACTTCTCAGATCCTCAGATCAAAGGGGAAGTATAATAAGAGCACTGAAATGCTCTATATTTATTACTGATTACTTAATATCTTTTGATGAAAAGTGAATGAGTTTAGAATGTAATTAGTATGCACATTCTAACAGCAGCACATGTTGTACTATTTCAGACCAGGAGCCACCGGTCATCAGCTGTCCTAACTCCACCACCCTGGTCATCCTGGAGGAGAACAGTCAACTGGTCATCACACAGGGTGGACAACTGCAGGGTAACTACAGCAGTATGTTCATGGCTATGGCCACAGACAATGTGACACCTAGAGGTGAGATGACCTTCACCTACAGTCCACCCTCACAGACCTTGACCTCAGCTATGGTGGACAAGAGGATCACTTTCACAGCTACAGCCACTGACATGGCAGGAAACAATGCCTCCTGTAGTTATGATGTGGTGCCAAAAGGTATGGGAGAGAAAAACTTCTAATACCATCATCAGCATTTTATAAAGCACTTTCTTGTTTAAGGGGAAATCTGGCATTGCACATTGTTTTTCACTTGCTAAGTGAATTTTAGTTTAAATTAGATTTTATCCTTTACAGATCATTGTAATAGGTTACTGCAAGCACATATGAGGCTGGTTTCAAATGACCTCTTTTTTTGTAATTACTGTACAGCTATATACACCCCTTCTGCATACTAGCAAGACATTGATTATGGAATATTACTGTCATAATTTGTACTAATTTTCCCTCCTGCCTCACCCTGTATACGTGAAACCTTCCAGACCCTAGGTTTGGTACCAAGACCTGTACCACCAGTAATACCACAGCTAGTTGTTCCACTATTTGTAATTGGTATTAATTTTCCCTTCAGCCTCTCCCTGTAGTACATGGTACCTGCCAACCCCAAAGTTTGGTACCAAGACATGTACCACCAGTAATACCACATCCACCTGTACCACTACATGTAACAGTGGGTATGGATTCCATGGTGGACAGGCTTCCATTGTGTATACCTGTGACACCTCTGCTGACCAGCCAGAATGGAGCAACAATGGAACTGTACAGGATTGCGTAGGTTAGTGTGTGGAACTAGAAATTCACTTAAGTATTCCTAAGGCTCTTTTAACAGGCAGTATTATTCTGTACTTGGATGTCATACTCACTTGTGAAGGAGGGTACCCCACCCTCCAGCACGATTGCATGTTACTCTGTCTGAAAAGGGCCTAAAGATGGTTGCTTATTTTAACGTGCTTTACACTTTTTGAATATTTTTGTTAGATTCGTTATTTTTGTTAGATTTATTGTGATGCACAGCTTAGTCAATTGTGAAAAGCTCTTTGATAACCTGTGATGATGCAGAATTTTATCACTCTGGCTTTAGGTCCATTCTCAGTTGCTGCTGCGTTTGGATCAGAAGGTGAACTGAATGCTGAGTGATGAAATCTGAATTAGTTTTCATTTATGCTTTGTACCTGTATTTTGTGTTCATCTCTTTTTGATTTTTGTGACACAAATACTCCACGTTAGGGCCACTGGTTTTCTGAAACCTTCAAAATGATGAGAATTGTTTAGAATGTTCTTTTTTCTTTGCATGTAAAAATTCTTGTTTGCAATATATTTATTGGAACTTCTTCCACAATATCTCATTGAAATAATGTTGAGCATTTTATCCATTTCTGATTTTTTTCTCACCTTATTTTACATGCAAAATGTGAAAATTCAGCATTCATGTAATTTTAAAAAGAGATAATAACAAGATGTTTAAAGATTAAATGCCATTTGAAAGGATTCATTCAAAACACATTAAAGGAACTTTTTCATTTACAAAACTGGTTTGGATAGTAGAGTAGTGGGGTGTTTCAGAGTTTGGTGTTCTTTAATATTTTAGCCCCTGAGATCATGGCCATCTACACAGCTATAGTACAAGAAACTGGCTCTAGCACTCCTGGTCTTGTCTACACAACAGTTAATGCTACAATCCTCAGTAGCTGTATCCAGCCCTATATCACTGAACTGGACAGTCTTATAGCCACTGTTGCTGCTAACCTGAGTAATGTATGCCAGACTGTAACTGGGTTATCAAACATTTACATAGAACTCAACCAATCTACAACAAGTTTAGATGTGGTTGGTCAGCAGGTAATTAAGGAAACTGTTATTGGGTTAAACATTTCAGACTTCTTGGTAACCACCAAAAGTTTTCAGCATCTGTCAATTTTTTTTCACTTTTTTCACTTAATTTAATTTATAATTTAATGGAATTTATACAAGTGTGTTGTCCCTTTGCTAAGCAACTTGTGCTGCCCTCATCTTCTAACTTATAGTAGATAAAAGAAATGTAAAATAACAGAAAAGACTGCCCTAACAGCTTGCCCTCTTGTTACTATTGCCTTGGAAAAGTTTGGATGTTCATTTGGAATTGCAACAATATCATGTCAGTACAACTTTCTGTTTTTTATTCCAGTTAACGGTACCTCTCACTTTAAGGATCTTGCCATCAAGCTTGCAGAGAGTTAATGTTTTTGACTGTGTAACTACCTTAAATAATCACATAAGATATCTTGAGTCTGGAGCTATGGATAGATTTATGGCTGCGAGAGCCTTAGGTTTTGTGCCATCTGTAGGCAGTTGTGGACAACTAAATCTACCCAGTGGTACACGCTATGAAGAAGTTGGAGGATTTATTTGTCCTAGCAACTTGGTTAGAAATGACCAACTTTGTCGTAAGTTTTTTTTCTCTTGATAAATCTGAGTTGATAGTTTATATTTGCCATAATACTACTATATATGTAAACAAGCACAGAAGGTTTTATGTCAGAGATTTTATATTATAAGAAGTTAGTATATGTTTGAAATGTAAAGCTGAAAACATCAGATGTTCTCATCTTGTGTGTGAGTGTGTGCTGAATGACACAGCTCTGAAACATTGAAGCCACAGATTATTTATTCATTTAACTGAAGAATTATTCATTTATTTTAATTTGATATAATATGATTGTAAAATACCACAGACATTTTATTATGTACAGACACAGATGTGTCTGTACATATTGCCATCACCTGCATCTGTCGTCGCTGGTGCCGTGCACTTTCAGCGTAAACATGATAAGTGGAAGACAGTTTTACTTTTTGGCTTTATATATACAGAGCTGATGAATATTCATAAAACGCAGCTCAAGTTCAAAAATCAGCATGATCGAGCCATTATTGTAGAAGTTATGCTGTTTTTTCACTTTTCAGCATATAGACAACACTGTAAACATATTTCAAGAAAAACCAATAGGCCTGTTATCATGAAACTCACAGGAGTAATCTATCTTACTAAAACGCAGGTCAAGTTTGAAAATCGGCATGATCGGGCCACTATTTTAGTAGTTATGCTATTTTTTCACCTTTCAGCATATATGCAACACTGTAAACACAATATAAGAAAAACAGATAGGCCAATTGTAATTAAACTCACATGAGTGGTCAACAGGTTGAGTATAAAAATTAGCTAGCATAATCGGGTCATTATTTTAGAAGTAATGCTGTTTTTTTTCACATTTCCTCAGATTCAATTCTTAGACATGTTAACAGTCTCATTATTTAACTAATAAGATACGTAAAATTGTTTGTTTGACATTTCCTGCATCTTTACAACTTCATTAGTTGATTATGTAAAAATGATGATGAACTTTTTATCGTGTATTGTGTAAAAAAGTGTCAAAATGGAAATAAACTCATATCATTGCGGTTTGTCAGATTCAATCATTCACTGTGTTCAGAATCTCAGAATGGAGGAAATTGGACATTTAACACTATTGTATTGATATTTTTCCCATGTCATCAATTTTCTTAGTTGATTATATAAAAATGGCAGTTAACTGTTAAATTTGTTTTATGTTAAAAAATTGTTAAAAATGGAGAAAAAAACATTTCAGAACAGTGCTGTCTTGCTTGCATTTTGACATTTTCAAGTTGTGACTTTGAAGTTCCATGGGCCTGAAGATCTATGCTAGTCACATTTTCTGAATAACTATGATACTAATATTTTATTATTTAAAATTGATGGCCATTATGCTGTTTAACATTATGTAATATTGCATCAAAATTTGAAGAAACACCTATTTTGGGCACTGCTCCCATGATGACCATTTAAGGAAAACCATGTCACTTACTGTTCTCAAACTTACAGGAAAGAAACATTGGACTAAAATACAACTTCAGCAGGCAATGCAGTCTGTTTGGTAAATTTTTATGGCAGTGAAACAGTTTTTTGTGAAAATTTAATTTTTCACATATTGGCATTTTCAAGGTGTGACTTAGAACTTCCACAGGCTTGAAGACCCATGCTAGTCATATTTTCTGAAAATCCATGATACATATATTTTATTATTAAAAATTGATGGTCATTAAGCTGTTAAGCATTATGTAATATTGCATCAAAATAGAAGAAAACACAATTTTGGGTGCTGCTGCCATGATGACCATTATGGAAAAACCATGTTACTTATGATTGTCAAACTTTTAAAAAGGAAACACAGGACAAAAATGCAGCCTTAGTTGGAAAAGCAGTCTTATTGGCTTCTTTTTCTGGAAGTTATACATTTGAGTGAAATATTCATTTTTCTCGTGTTGGCATATTCATTGTGGAACTCAGAGCTCCCATGGATATGAAGCCGAATGGTAATCAAATTTTTTACATGTCCATGCTATTTATAGTCAATAATCAAAAATTGGTGATAATTATTCTGTAATTTATTACGTACTGTTACATCAAAATTGACAAAAATCTTTTTGCACTGCTACTACAAACATTAAGAAAGGTAGTGTGTTACTTATTATTATTTTAACTTACAAATATGAGTTTTAGGATTGGCATGCAGTTCAAATTAGAAAGCCAGTTCAATTGGGTTATCATTTATCATTGAATTTATGAAAATTTTGTGTGAAATTTTCATTTTTCTCATTCTGGAATTTCATAGTGTGAACTTGAACTCCCATGGGCCTGAAGCCTTATGCTTGTTACACATTCTACTTACATTGGTATTACCTGTTGAGCATAATTAAAATTTGATGTAGAATTTGCAGTTAAGCATAATGTACTTTTGCATCAGAATTGACAGTAGCCTATTTTGTGCATTGTTATTTTCAGCTTTTTGTCTGTACATTTGACAGCTTTGCTGCCTTGTTCAGTAATTGTATTATACAGTACCCTGTCCCACTGGAACCTTTCGGGATGGAGCAGCCTGCACCCCATGTAGCCCTGGCCAGTACCAGGATGAACAGGCACAGACTCAGTGCAAGTCCTGTCCTGAGGGGTTCACATCTTTATATGCAGGGAGCAACAGACTGGAACAGTGCATTGGTGAGGCATTGCAGGCTGCAGGAGCATGGGTTATAAGACATATTATGCTAGACTGTTATATTTTTTTTAGTTTAGTATAAAAGTGGTAATAATTTATTCAGCTTGAATATAATATGTGAATATCATTGAATATAAATCAGAAATTGGCCTGAGACATCCAGTAGGTGTAGTATGAAACAAATGAGATGAGAAAAGATAAACTGTTACCCCACCTTTGTAAACATTTAGCATCATCATTTATATTTATTACCATTACCATTTGATGAACAGTATTTTTACATTGTCCAAATCTCTTGCCTTATGTTGGAAATAAATTTATTTAATCCTGTATTTTGTACAATTTGATATGATCATTGTATATCATTATTGTCACCTTGGTTTCCCTCTGTAGAGTACTGTTCAGAGGGGATGATATCAGATACAGGGTTGGCCCCATGTACCATGTGCCCTGCCGACACTTATTTCTCTAACCGCACCCACTGCACACCCTGCCCAGTAGGCACCACCACAAATGGAGTAGAAGGCGCCAAAAACTCGTCAGGATGCAAGAGTAAGTATTAGGGATGAACTATGCAGGGATGCTATTTTTCCACATATTTGAGGATATTCCGAGTTTTGGGTGTTCTTGGTACTTACAATAGTAATGAAATTTTTCTGACTGTTGGCAGATTTTCGTCTTTTTGGGAGCCAAAATTGTCATCCCTGACAAGGAAATGTGAGAACTGCATTTGAACTTCGTAAGTGATGAATTTGGAGGTTGTTGAATTATTGTTATGAAGATTATTATTATGACTGTTAAGATGTTAAGTAATGATATTTTTCTTCACATATCTTGCCATCAGTATACAAACGTGTGACCTGCATTGATAGAATCACAGGATTATAAAACAAATGGAGCACAAGATATGCCTGCATGATATTGTCATTAATGTGTATATTCCAGCTGAATGTAGACCTGGGTATTTCTCCTACAATGGGAGAGAGTCCTGTACTGCATGTCCTCTGAACTTCTACCAAAACAGCACAGGGCAGACGACATGTTCCCGGTGTTCCACAGACTCCGTCACAACCCAAGTGGCTTCCGATTCCATAGACAACTGCACCTCACAAAGTAAACTATCACTTTTATGGCAGATATTTTAACAATAAGCTAACTAGGATGATTTTAGGCCATTGCAATTAGACCTTGATTTGAAGTATGATATGAAGAATTTACATTTTAACCAAATTGGACTGTTTTACTAGACCATTGGCATGGTACTATTGTTCTTGGAAAATATAATGGTTTATTTTCATTGAATCATCAGTAAAAATAGCAAATCCAGTACAACCATGTTGCACACGTTAAATTTTTAGATAATTTATTCTTTTTCCGGCCAAATGTTGTATGATTGTTATAGGTAGACTCTTTATGTTTAGAACTTTGTTTTGACTATCTCTTCAGGTAGCTTGTGTAACAGGAATGACACGTGTCAAAATGGTGGCACCTGTACTGTATTGGGTCATGTAGAACAGTGTCTGTGTCCTGACGGTAGGTGAAAATATTTGGCAACTGAAGTCTAATTTTAAATCTTTGGTCAGCCTTCAAAATAAATTTCACCTGAAAAGATGTTTAGCCAAATAGTTTCTAAACAGGTTATTTTTCCATTGTTGCAACTGATTTCATTCCAAACAGGTTCAATCTGTATATTAGCTTTTATCAAAGTATGTTTAAGCATTGATAAAAAATGTATCTGTTGCTATGGAGCCAATTAAGTTCAAAATGTAGAATAGCAGCACCAGTTTCATGTAAGAATTATTCTTCTTTAAAAAATTACATCATTGATTTTACTGACAATTAAAATTTACTTTGAGTTCTTAGTGAATTGAATTGTATTTGTTTAATTACCCTATGTTACAGGTTACACAGGGAGGTATTGTGAGGACACCATCAATCCATGTGATTCCAGTCCTTGTTTTTATAACGGTACATGTGTGCCACTAGGGGGTCTACAGTTCAGGTGTGACTGTTACTCAGGTAAATACACCTCAACCTCATTGACAATATTTCATCACAGTTTATTTTTTCATTGCACTTAATTGCCCTAGTGAAACCAGCTTGATACCTCGTTTGTGTCTTTTGTAAAACTGATTAACCCTGCTAATGTGTGAGATATGGAATCCCCTGTGTTATTGCATATTTTAAAAAAGAGTGTTATAACATATGTCAATTGAAGCTTCTTCTATTCCTGAGCAAAAAAGGCTGTTCTTTTCTATCTCCTCACGCCATATTTTTTTCAAAATTCAAGTTGGAAATGCTTAGTTTCTTAAGCATTTTTACTTAAAAGTAGCACAGTTAGTTATTGTAGAAAAAAACTTCCCTACATTTTGAATTTCAGAAAGCCAATAAAAAAAAAACATATCCCCATTTTCATTATGAGATAAATAGGATAGCCTTTATTTCCTAATAATTATGAAATGTTGAACTAAGCTGATTTTGACCTAATCCCATGCCTGACATTGCTCTTTGTTTGGAATTTTGCTCTGTATCCTGTACTGATCAATGAGCTTTTCAACATTCTGGCTTCCTTGCTCTCCCCTCTAGCTATTGTGTGCACTATGGTTAATGAGACCAGCAACCAGACCTATAGTGGTGGGGCAGATGAAGCTTCAACAGTACCCAGCCTTGCAGCTTGCCGGGAGAAGTGTGTTAATAGTTCCCAATGTTCAGCTATCACCTTCTCTAGTTCCTCTTGCATCATCTTTTATGCCCTCTCTGGAAGAGCTCTTACTGCCTCAAGCCAGGCTGTTGTCACTTTTACCAAATCATGTAGGAATGTTTCAGGTAAGTAATGTTGATTTTGTAAATTATTTCCTAAGTATTATTTTGTTACAAAGCAGATCAAACAAACACGTTTTTTACATCCATTTTGTTATTCAGTTATTCTTACTGGTTATTTTTTATTGATTGTTCATTCTGTTGTTTTAACAATCAATATAAATGCTGGAGTTTCCAGAATTAATTTTTAATTTTAATTTATATTTCATACTTTGAAAGTGTTTTTTTTAATAATTGTTTTATAATAGTTTTATTTAAAAGATGCAGTCAAATTTTAACCAATTTATCTTTATTTTAGACTTCAGTGGACAATTTTGTGAGAGTGAAACTAATCATTGTTTGTCAAATGACTGTCAAAATGGAGGAATGTGTCAAGATTTAGTTGGTGGATTCAAATGTTTATGTCCATCAAACTCTATCTATTCTGGACCAAAGTAAGTCAGAAAAAGTAAAATACCAATCACTGAATTAACAAACCACAGCCCAATTGTTGTATCTATAATCTTTGCATAAATCTTTGGCTTGTAATGTTTCAGTAATTTAGTGCTGTCTGTCTATTCTGTATATTATGCAGTGTATCTACAAATAAACTTCAAACTTCAAAAACTGAGAAAAAATTAGATGATCACAAATGAGAGTTCTATTACATATGTATAATTATGGATCCATATTCCACATGTTAAAACTTAAAAACTTACTGTATCACATTAGATTGATACATCATATTATGTAAAGTATATGAACACAATATCTAGGTGCACAGACTCTACCCCAGTGTGTGATCAGCCAGCCAATGCCTGTCAGAATGGCGGGACATGTCGTCCAATCTTTGGGAACATCCGCAGTGTGTGTAACTGTGTGGCAGGATTCACTGGGAGGAACTGTGAGAC